GTGATGCTCAAGAACTCACCGTCCCCTGCTCAGCCCAACTATCTCATGGCCGTGTGGTCAGTGATGGATGCACTCATCCTGGTAGGCCGCCTCCTATCATATCACAGTTGAGGTCTCGGCATAAGGTGCTCTCGGAGACCGTCTGTCCTTCGGCTGCTGTGTAGTAGACTGTACCACATCTACATTCAAGTATGGCTGGTTTGAGGACAAGCCAGACCGACAACTACTACGGACTATTCTAATAACGCTGCAACCAAGGGAGCTGCTGGCTGATAAGAGTAGGCTGTCTCCTAGGGTTGAGCTGCACGACACCCGACTAGGGTCGCCTCCTATCTCACACAATGCTAACTCAACGCGCGGGGCTTTGCGAATTGCTCTGATGAAAATTAAGCCGGCGAAATCATCGCTGATATGACATACAGTGAGCTTAGTATTGGTAATGACATGTTATAAGATGAGCACCCGTGATAGTGGGCATATAGACTGGCATTTATAGATCATAGGATTCGCCAGAGTTGAGGGGTGTATCCTCACGCCGCGCGAGACTCGCCAGCATTGAGTTGCGATGGACTGGGTGTGTTTCAGAATCGATACCCACAGCGGTCCATCGCCTACTCCAGGGCCTGGCGGTCCCGCCGACTGTCACACAATGGCATCATTGGGATCCCAATACGGAGCACGGAAGACAGGTAGCGGAAGAGGAGTTTGCCGCTGTCTTGGTACTCGATACTCAGGACGAGGGCGACGAGCCCCTACCTGTACAGAAGGCGTGCGGAGCTGTTCTAGCCTATCTACGTCAAACAATGCTCTACGAAGCGGTACGGAGGGGCATCGTTATCGGTTGTAGATATACAGCCAACAAGCGTTTGGACTCAAGTGACACTATAGCTCGGTGGCGACTGATCATCGTGTGTGGTTCTATGTAACGGGCGACGGTTGCTGGAGTCAGGTAACCTCCTTCGCAACATGGGAAAAGTTGGACACGTCAAATGCGGGTAGCTCCGGCTTGGTCCTCGATGCGAACGCCTTGGAGCAGTTGGAAGTGCTCCGAAGTGAGCCTACAGTCGGTTCACTCAACAGTGTGAGTATCCTCTGGTAGATACGGATGGCAAACTAGAAGGCTCTTTACTCAACCAACTAGATCATACGGTGACTCCATTCGGCAAGCGCCTGTTGCGGCAGTGGGTGTGTTGCCCGTTGAGAGCAAAGACTGATATCGACAGAAGACTTGATGTGGTGGATTGGCTCCTAGAAAAGACTGAACTAGTCGCGTAAGCTGCTTCGTACAGCTCTGTCGTTACGTTGGTGACTTCAGGGACCTTCGTTCGAGGATGAGAAAGTTACCGGACATTGAAAGGAGGCAAAACAGAGTATTTGCTCTAGGCCTGCAGCTCGAGAGGAAAGCTGTTCTCTATGGCGAAGTGCGCTCGGAACGGTACCACTGGTTTGTTTGAGTTCCTCGTGCTGTAGGTGGAGTCCTCACGTATTGCCCAGTTCATGGAACTGTTGGCAGCTCTGAAGGAGGCGGATAGATGCCTCGCTATGGTGAGCTTCTTCTTTGCTTCGGTCGTGGAAAAGTATTGAAAAAGCGTTGAGAGACGTTTTCGTGGCAACAGGTCCGCGAAGGTGATGGAGCGCTGCCAGCACTGTTAGATGAGCTGATACCGATGGAGGAGCTCGGCTATGTGGATGGCATCTTGGAAGAACTGGGCAGCAGAGTGCAGGGAAGTGAATCAGACGGATACTCTGCAGCACCAGGTGAGATCCAATACTCCATGGACAGCGAAATATTAGAATTAATCTACTTTGAAGCATACTACCTGAAACCCTCATCAGCTGAGGGTTGCATGCTTGTTATAAAGTTTTGGTGAAAGGCCGACTTGGACTGTGGCAGATCTAGCTCCTCGGGGCGGACCCGAGGGGAATCTCTCATGGGTGTATGCGAGCGGGGTGGAGTAATGAGCTACCCCCTGGCTCATATCATGATGGAGATGAGTACATCATCGCCAGTACATATCTCTCAGGATGCTGCCCAGCCTACGACGAGGCCCGGTCTAAGATAGCCAGCATTAAGTCAGACCTCCAAGAGGAACTGAAGATCGTCTGCCATGAGCATCTAAAAGGATGCAAACTGCAAGAGGCGAAATTCGTCAGCGTGAAATACAGGTAGTAGTTCCCTTGCACGTTGTGGCCCTCGTTCAAACGGTCGAGGTAAGGTATGAAATTGAAGTCCCTGAGCGGTGTGCCCCTCGAGATCTAGAAGCGCATGGACTGGAAGTGTCCAGCACGAGAAAGGGCTTCGTCAGGCTCTTGACGCAGGAGGTGGAAATCAACTCGACTGGGCAATGCAGAGAGCGCTGGTAGATACGTAACATGACGGAGGAGTTGGATGCGACAGAGGAGCGGATGAAGGACTGCCTCTACCCCTTCATGGCACAACTCTTTAAGGACTTCCACAAGCATACCATTCGACTACAGGATATGGTGGAGTCGCTGGAATAGCCGACTTCACGGCATCCGGTTGGGCCTAGGTTCAAAGGCTGGCTACTCTCGATTGTCTTCTTTCCTTATCTGAGGCGTCCCGGCCCGGCGCTGGGTCGATGTGCCGGCCGCAGATCCTGGATCCGACAGAGTTCACTGCTCCAGTCTTTGATTTGGTCGAGGGACGGCATCCGGTGATTATAGTGACGATAATGTACAGAGTCTTGAAGTATGTGGTCAGGTACAGGAGGCTGCCTTAGCACGATCAGGGAGGGAATTTGTACCCAACTCTGTGGAGATGGGTATCAATGGCAGTCCGACGACGCTGCTGGTCACAGGCCCCAACATGGGCGGCAAAAGTGAATATTATCTAGCTGTGTTGTGTTTGCTATCGAACTACCTACAGGTACGGTACTCCGTCTAGGTGCTACTGCTGTTATTATAGCCCAGCTTGGGTGCAGAGTACCAGCATCATCGTAAGGGTGTCCGTCTGGACCGCTGAGTTGCTCCGTAACATTGCGGTTTGCAGGTTTAAATTAACACCAGTGGATCGAATTTTCACCAGAATTGGCGCCAGAGACTCCATCCTAGAGAACAAGAGTACTTTCCTCATCGAACTCGAAGAGACCGGAGCCGTGTTGCAGCATGCCACCAAGCATTCCTTAGCAGTCATTGATGAGCTCGGTAGCGCCATCTCATCACTTTTGGCATTCGGGTTAGCCCTTAGTGGAACTAAGTCAGTCGTATCAGCTCTGAGCCCCTTACTGGGCTGTATTCCGTGGTCATTTCCCTTGTGTAGTGCGAATGGGCTCAAACACACGAATGCTCGCCGTGGGCGGTGAATTGTGTTAGCCTGAGTTGGCTTCAATCTCCTCTCAGGCCGCGGGACTTCAACCTTCGACGGTGCTGCTATCGCTCACGCTGTGCTCGAGAGGATATCGGAGAGTATCGGCTGCCGTACTCTTTTCGCCACTCACTATCATCAATTAGCCGAGGATGAAAGTCTACATAACACGGCACTGTGAGGGCCTGCCTCGAAGGACTACTGCACATTCTGTAGATGAGCCCTACTAGGGGTCGTTGTAGGTACCATCAAGCATGTCTCGTTAACCCAGCTACTCGCGAGGTGACCTTCCTCTACAAATTCACTAAGGGACGATGCCCTCAGAGCCACGCTATGCATGTTGCTAAGATTGCTGGCCTACCGGAGGTGCCTCCTGTGGGCGGTGCTTCCAGTTGAGTTTTCTTTCGTCAGGTAATCGTGGAGGCAGCGAGGGAGATGTCGACAGTTTTCCACTCTGCTGTGGAGTACCCGGATGTCCCATATGATGACGAAGCTTTGGGAGAATTCTACGACTCTGTTAAGCACGTTGCAGCTCATTGAATTTCCTATGCGGTTCTGATGATTGTGTTTCCTGCACTCGTAAGAGGTAAGTGATCATATGCAGAAGTTATCAATGGCAAGTAAAAGTAGTTTACAAAACCGTCATGCACTGTACGGTCATTGTGTGTCACTTCCATTATGGGCAAGTTTGGAACTCCACTTTGGCGGCTGATTTGACTCGAGGAGAAAGTTCTCGACGCGCTCACACGCAAGACCTATGTGAGCTCAAACTCGCGGTCTGCATAAGGGCTTCGGTGGGAGATGTGATAAGCGATCACTCAGGAAGTAACTTCATCATGCTTCCATGCTCGAGTGCGTTGGGGAGTGAGGCAAGGGAGCCAGTGACCAAGCGCCTCCTGCTCATTTCTAGATATTTCGAGGTATTCCCTCAGGAAACTTTTCAGTAGGAACAGGCTACGCTCTCACGTTCCCAGAAGGAAAACTCACCCGGCACTGAACCATTTGGCCGCCAGAGTGAGCGTACGATATGATTGGGCATGTTTTGATCTCGCAGGCATGTCCTAGTGATGATCGCTCCCTTAGGGAATATCCATTGGGAATAGTCGAACCGAGATTCTACTCACCTTTCATCGTCTGGTTGAACTCAAACAAGGTGAAGTTGACAATGGTTTACTCTACTTCTCCGGTGCGAGCCGTGGACGATACTACGGGTATAAGGAAAGTTCAACGACAGACGTATGAGGCTGTGCCACGCAACGCCTCTGTGTCACCTAATGACCTTGTCCCATGCAAACGCGTGCTATCAGCACGATGTCGAAAGGACGACGTCCTGCACTCGAGCGATGCCTTGCTACTTTGTATTGTAGCACCAATATCACTGAGTTAGCCTCTGTGCACTTCAGTTCTTCGTGTCTCGGTTTGTTGCAACATTTTTGCGCATTAGTCCTCACGCAGCGTGACTTGTGGCATACACCCACGTTCTTCATATTACGAGTTGATCTCCCA